ATTATTACCTTCTTGATCTACTATGTAAAATGCTTGCCAAGGTTTTTCTGATTTTATAGGGTAAAACTTGGGTAGGGATTGAAAATTTCCTACTGTTGCAACTTGTGGTTGTTGTGCTTGAAGTTTAGCCTTTAATTTTTCTATCTCAGCTTTAGATTCAGCTCGCTGTTTTGCAAATACATCTTGAATCATTTTTTGCATATTAGCCATGGAGAATGCCGGTTGTTGAGGTATAACATCTGGAATAGCAGGAGCAATAGGTGCATGGTGAGGTTGAGATGGTACCTGTTGTAATATTCCATGATGTAATTCAAGTTCTGCCAAACTATCAATAATATCGTTAATAGATTTTGTTTGACTAATTCTATAAATTTCATCTCTAATATCAGGTCTAACTCCAGATAAGAAATGGGTTTTCTTCTGTACTGGAGTATAACCAAGTTGATCGCCATATTTCTGAATTTTTGCCCAGAATGAAGATACACTCTCATATACGCCTTGTCTTAATACTCCAATTTCTAATATCTTTACATATTTATTAGCAGTTAGATAATGTTTTTTTATCCACCAAAGCCTTTGTCCAGATCATATTCCTGCTAGAATAATAGGAACACCTCCTTCAGCATTTGGTGCAACTAGTACTGTATTAGTTGTACATTCTCCCGCTATTGTCCAATCTTCAGCAACATTTTGAGCAGAGATAATTTGTGTACCTGTAAGTCCAAGTGGAACATTTGAGAAAGAAGCGACTGCACCTGTTATACCTCCTGCATTAGCACCACGAATATGTGCTATTGTTGTACCTATACCAGAGTTATCAAGTACATTTTCTAACTCTCAATTTTTATTATCAAATTCTCTATGATACCATTCTCTCGCTTCTTCTTTTAAGGATCGATCTAATATAGTAAGAATATTTGTATCATTATTTACTCCAGCCAAGGTAATATATGATATGAACTTATCTACGAAATCTTTATGATCTTCATCATCGCCATGAAATTCTGGTTGTACAAACCCTACAGGTAATGCTATCAGTTGATTTTGCTGATTATTTACTAATACAAAATTTTGTTGCTGTAAATTTAAAATATTCTGATTTTGATTCAGAATTATTTGGCATTTATCTTTAGTCTTATTCTTCCATTTTTTATATCAATCATATAGTCGATCTCGCCAAAATTCATCAAGAGCTCTTTCATTTCGACAGTTCTGTATTTGTATATGCTCATCCTTAGTTTTATTCTTCTATTTTATATATCTATCACATATTCAGTCTC